TTCATGTGGCTGCGGATTCCAAGGCCAGTCTCAACGACGAGGCCAAAAGTGCCGTCCGCTTTGCTCCTCCCAGTGCCAATTTGGTGGTGGCACCCGACAAGCCGTACTCGGTCCAAGAGAAACGATCGATGTGGTACACGTTCAAGGAATTGCAATCACGACACCGCAGCGACGTGGACGAAATCAAGCGATACCGATCTGACACTTCCACGAAACAACGACACAGTCTCTTGCCACTGCACCAGCAAGACAACGGCCCAGACAACACGATCAGTTGGCGAGGATTGGAACATGTCGTGGCAGACGCCAACAACAACAATTCGAATACACACCACAACAAATTGAAGCCCTCCCGCAGCGACCGCGTAAAGGAAACCGTCCGACAAATTGTGCAATACCACAAACAAGCCGTCGCCAAGGGTCTCCCACTGTTGAATGATGAGCTGCGGCAGTTATCGCAACACAAAACCAAGGCCGATCGACAACGCGCCGAACGATGGGCGCTCCAGGATGCCAAGGATATTGGTATCAAAATGAGAACATTGGCATGCCATCATTCTACGACACTGCGGGCTGTGGGCAAGGTCATGAGTCCGACGCGACAAATGAAAAAAGTATCGCACAAACTAGTCTCCAAATTGCCCGTATTGCCGTGGGGTCAATAATATAAACTAAAAAGAAAATTGACTAAATAAAAAAGAGTACACAATCAATCTACATTTTCATTGGCTGCTAGCTGGCTAGCTGTCTTGATTTTCCAAAAAGTTTCAAGGCTCAGAACTATCCGCGGGAGAGCACAAGCAAGTGTACCTGGTACCTAGTCCCAGGGCATGGGCTCCTTTGGATACAGCAAGCATGAATGGACTGCCAAAACACCTCCCAACGAAAAAATGATTTTGGCTAGCTAGCGTGAAGACAAAGGCACCCGGGCTGAACCTACAACGACAGTGTGCCCGGTGGAGCCCACCGTACGATGATACTGTGATCGTTACTTCCTCCAAGAAGCCTTTCTGTTCATTTCTCTGGGACTTTTTATCTGTTCAACAGATTCTCGTGCTGTCGCTTTCGGTTCCTGATTGGTCGCTCTTGAACTTTGCTTACTGCTTCGTAATCATTTCCGAAAAGGTCTTCAAGCAAATGCGTATCGAGGTATACATGCGGAGCGATGACTTGCGAGCCCGGTCCAGGCAAATTGCCTATCGTACGGAAGTCATCGTCGTTGATTTTCTTGATGCGGTACCGGTACGAATGAGGACGACTTGCCAATGTAATCCCCACCGATCGGTCCAGGCGGATATACCGTATGCATACACCCAAAAGGCAGGGCAGATATTGCGTTCGTGCCGACCAAGAGAATTATCCAATCGGTCGGGCAGCCAACTTTCATGCAAAGCAACGTGTGGCCTGATAATACGGTATACTTCGCGGCTGCTTCCATCTGCCTCTCAGAGACGTGTGAAGACTGTCAAGGCAGATGGTGCCAGCCAGGACGTCGTCTCGTCGATCGTGTTGGGCGGGCAGTATGGTACTACGGTGGTACCTTACGAGAGTCCTTTTGCTTCCTCACGAAGCTACGCTTGGAGAGTTCATTTATTGCTTGTTTAGTAGGCATTCGTATAATAAGTATCCTCTTGCAGCTCAGTAGCAGCAGCGCGGCTACCCACAAGGTCTTTGGTTGCCATCCAAAGGTACGATTACGAACCAGGACCGCTTTGTGACCTTTCGCACAGAAACGCAACGAAAACACTTAGTTGAGCAGTTGTTCTGCCATGCAGCCATCCACCTCTGCTTGGTGCAACAAAGCATGCTACTAGGCAGTGACTTGTGCTTCAAAAGTACTACCAGTAGCTACCTACCGTGATCGTTCGTATTTATCCCATCATGATTCTCTGCGTGCCCGGAGCAACATACATGCAAGCAGAGTACGGGTTGGCTGTTGCCGCAAGACCAGTGGCCAATGCCATGCATGCTACTAACTCAGGCTTGAAGAACGTCAACCCGAAGTAGTGTAAATTTCAGAAGCTAACCCACCAAATGTACCGTAGCTGCCAACAAGCTCATTAGTCGTGATGATGTATGTGATATGATGATTTTTCGCGGCCCCGGCTGCTCTATGGTACGAGACGTTGCGGCACTGCACCATTCTGCAAACTTGAATGCTGCGCAAGGTATCTGGCCGCAAGACGACTCGACTCGAGTTGGATATTGAAGGCTAAACCCACCAGATTGACAGAATGAAAGGTGCTGGTTGGCTGACATGAGAGTTTGATATACTTACTAGTACTTCCGTTGGTACCGGCTACATGTACCGGTACAGTGCTGGTTGATGATCTCTGTTCCAAGTCTTCGAGGCATCATCATCTTTTTCGACAAAATGTGCAGCCAATGCGACCCCCCGGAGCACGGAATTTTAGTACAATTTTTAACCCTTTTATAACTTCATGAGAGCACTCTTTTAGTCAAGCATGTTTGGCGCGTATCGCCACAAACCTCCACTTAGACTAAAACGGTCGACACTCAGCGCCGCAGAACAGGCTGGCCACTTTTTCTCGAGGAGAGTGGCCCCATCAAATTTTCGACCGAACCTGCTTTGGAACGGTTCATCGACCCACCATTCTTCGAGTGAGTGTGCCTCAAGCCGCCAACAGCCGAGATCTTGGATGCCTGCTGGATCCAACAGACAAATCTCACAATCTCATTCATCCAAAAGTCTACACGACTTACCCGAACACAACCAACTATCCAACCAGCGTCGTTGTAGTGTAGCAAGTTTAGCCATGGGTATCAAGCTTCGTAAACGTCGGGGTGACCGGGAATCGCCATCTTCTGCCACCAACAGTCGGCGAGGCAGCAGTGACACATCCCCCTTGGTGGCAGTAGCAACGGATCAATCCACTTCGGCAGTACGAGTTCGGGCCAAGTCAATCTGCAACTCGACCAACCTGGACCAGTTGCATCTGGAACGACGACAATTAACTACTTCGATTTCGTGCACGTCGATACCATCGCTGGCAGGCACTGCTACCCGCTCGCTGGATGAAGACCCTTGGAGTGAGAAGAATGTGCAGGCTGCCATTGACCTTTGGGAGCTGACAGATGAGCAGGTGGATAGACTCAAGGAACTCCAGCTCAACTTGAAGGATTGTTCTCACCACTTCAAGTACGATCCTCATATTATCTTGCGATATATGACCAGTCCGTTGGGACACGACGCCGAACCACTCTTTCGCAAGATGGTTCAATGGAGGGAAGATAACAACATTGACAATATGCTCCACGAGTACAACCCTCCTCAGATCCTGTTGGACTACAACACAGCCGCCATTCTCAAGGATTACGACCGAGAGGGAGACCCCATTTATGTGGAACGAGGAGGAGCCACGGATGGCCACGGCTTTCTCAAACGCTTTACCCGCGATGAACTCATGGAGTTCATGATCTACACTCGCGAGCTGAATACGCAAGGCTATTGGATAGATGAGTACGAAAGAAGACAGGGTAGAAAGGTCAGGGATGTGACAGGTAAGCGAAGGATAGGGTAGTCATCTGTGCAGGAGATCCGGTTCTCTCATTTCAATGTATAGCAACATCTCGCTCACATCTCGCTTTTTCCTGCAGTTGTCTACGACCTGAAGGGACTCAATTCGCACCACTTGAGTCCACAAGTTCTGCAATTCTTCAAGGACGTTCAATCCATGAATCAGGAAAGATACCCTGGCCCCATTAAGCGCATGATCATCATTCGGGCTCCAGCCATCTTTCGGGTGTGCTGGAACGTTGTCAAGCACTTTTTCCCACCATCGTCTCGGAAGAAGATGATCTTTGCTGGCAAGCATTATCACAAGGACCTAGAAAAGTACATAGATCTGGAAGTCCTCCCACCATGTATCTGGGAAGGCGGCAAGGGAGAGCCTGCCCCGGGGCTCCCACGGCGAATTGTAGGTGGCCCCATTCCAGATCATGTCCGGCGAGATGATCAGCCACAGACGACCATTGTGTCGACGCCACCGCCACCGACCAAGCCACTCCAAACGAACGATTCTTTTGAAGGGACCGAGCAAGGGTCTTTGGCTTCCAGAGCCGAAAGTGACACATCAGACATGGCCACATCATTTTAGTTGGAGAGATTGGTTGATTGATTGTTTCATGAACTTTGATTTGATAGAATGATTGAAAGAACGCATGCATAGCGCCCGGTGCTGACTGTTTCAGCAACTGTCCATGTTGTATCTGTCGAAGTCTGCTACTGTTGTGATAGCCTGCTCTGTTCACCCCCTCACCCTGGCTTTCGGCAACTGCCCCACATAAAACCAATAACAAGGAAGAATTTTAAACTAACAAAAAGCAAAAGAAAGCTAGCTATAATCACTGGTCCAACTGAGCGAGCATGTCACAATGGCCGACCCACACCCAATGGATCTAGCCACTTGGGTTTTAGCGGCTCGTCGATGTTGCTTCCTGCTGGAGCTGGCCGCTGCTGCAACACAACAACGCAGTGACTCACATGAACTTATCGTGGCGTTGTGCCAGTTTAAGCTTGACTTGACTCAAGGTTGCTTGGTCTTGGGGGAGCCGACGAAGGTGTCGTTGAAAAGACTTTGTTTGTGAGCTCAGGCAGCCTATCACGCATGCTATCAACATTCATTGCAAGAGACTGGCTGAGTCGCTCTGGATCACCTTGTCAAATCAATTGATTGGGGGGGTATTCCAGGGCAAGAGACTGGCAGCAGAAAAGATCTCCAGAATCTCTCGGGCTTACTGGCTGATCTGAGGGTTTTGAATTCTCTTGTTGCTGAAGCAATCATCAACCATGGGCCGCCCATTCTCCAATCGGATTCAAAACCGCTTCTTCTTCCTTTGACCATCGCCATCCCTGTGTTTCGATTTCTTTTGCTTCTTCTTGTGTTTTGGAGCCTCGCTGGGAGCTTTTTTGTCGTTGCTAGTAATGACAGCAGCCCCTTTGGTGTTTTGTTGTGATGCTGGTTTCTGCTGCGAATTATTGAGTGACTGAGCGTGTTGTCTTCGTTTCTTTCTCTGACGAGGGTTGGGCCTCTTGGCTGTCGAAATGGTTCCTGTCTCTTTGAGATCGTTCCATGACGAAGCCAGGGATGGTTTGATCCGTCCATGATCCCACGGAATCGTCTTCCAATGATCCATGAGCTGTTGTTGTTTGTCTCTGGGGATTCCACAAAACCACAGTGATGCAAAAGGTGGCACATCCTTTCCAGTTCCCTCTGGATGCGTGTATTCATACGGTACCGATGGAATCAAGTACATGACATCTCCCTTTTGATCCCTGGATCTGAAATATTCCCTCGAGGCCACATAGCTGGGCATGAGCAAAAAGAAAGGGTTTCCTTGCGTTCTGAGTTGTTCCATGGAAAAATCCAGGCATTTCTCCTTGTGCTGATCCGAATAGGGAGGATTGGTGACCAAAATGTCAAACTCGGGTAGCTGCTTCTGTTCAATATCCCTATAAAAATCGCGCTTTCGGTTGATGATTCCTTCAAAACCAAGCTGGCGAAAGAGACTCTCGGTTTGACCATCGCAGTAGTACGGATCGTAGATGCAGAGGGTCTTTCTTCCTTTCCCTCTTCCTTCTTCCATACTGCTGCTACCCAGCCAGTCCAGCAAGGGAGCAATATCTTGATAGGCTGCCATTGGAGTTTCGAAATGATCATTGTAGTCAACCTGGTAAGGGTAATCAGATCCGGTCCACGGCCTCTTCCGACCATGGGCTAACTTGTCCATGCTCTCTGTTGGTCTCTCTGTTGTTCATCCCTTCCTGCATGTAAGAATCCCCACGGCCAAAGAAGAAAATGCAATGGGACAGCGGCCCTGCAACGCAGCAGCTATTGGCAGCAGTTCAAGAAGCCATTTAAGCTGTGAAACAAATTTTTGAGTTGACATTCAAATGGCAGTACTGGTAGCTAGCTAGTTCCGATGCAGCGCATCCTCATCAGCATGCCAATAACGCCCACTAACGAATCTATTGGACTTCCATACTAGCTTGAGCTCGACTGTGAAGGTCCCGGAAAACGGTACGGTATTTAGCATGGCTTCGAGCGTGAATTAAAAGCTAGCTATATGCTTGTTCACCCTCTCTGGTTGGCAATGGAGTTCCATTCGACTCGGTCCAGAACCTTCCCTGTAGCCTTACTTTCACATCGCTGAGCTCCATGCCGCCCAATAGTTTTCTTCCCCCTTCCTCAGAATAAAGTACAACGAACCTCCAAGGAGTCCACCCAACACCAACAAGTAACCGAAAGACAGAACCCGCGTCCTGGCATCGCTATTGATTGTGGAATAGAGAGACCGCTTGGCCTGACTCGATCGGTTCGTTCCGTAGATTGCACCCAGTGACAACCATCTAAGCAGAAGCCCCACAAACAAAGATGGAAGGACGCCCCAATACCATCCTCTGTAGGATCGTTTGATGATTGCGTTGAAATCATTCAAGCCGTAATGCAGCAATTGAAAAGACGAAACACCGTGCCCCAAACCAACTCGCTCAAACGTCCGGCTAATGTGGGGTTTTTCGTCCATGGTTCGACTAAAGTCTGTAAAGCCACTTTGCACCTGTGTAGATAGACAACACATTCATGAGGTACGCGTTGCAAAATATCTTGTCAGCAGCCTCGGCCTCACGAGGAGCCCAGTCTTTGGTTGAACGATGCCCTTACCGGAAGACACCGGGCTTCAGCCACTGCAAGGCTCTCCACGAAGAATCTCGTCGGTGACAGGAGACCGCTTGCTATCAAAGCTGTCGTACGATCGTAAATCACTGGACACCGTTGTTGGGCGCAGTTGCAAAGCATTCGTTGAGCAAGGGTTTAAAAAAAGACACTCAAGTCGTCGAAGAGGACATTGGATGAGACTGACCTTCAAAACTGATCGGAAGGATTGCGCCGCAAAAGAGCAGAGAAAAGAAGGCCACCAAGAAACCGGTCGCAAAGATGACATGTTTCTTGGGAATCAATAGCGAAAACAACATCCCCCATGAACTAGCAACCCAAGAGAGCATCAAGAAATGAACGAGGTAGGAGTACCAGGCGGCCAATGAATTGCGGATACTGAAAGCAAACATTGCCGCCAGAATTGCTTGCAGGATTTGCACCACAGTTGCTTTCCAAGTCATTGCTATGAAATACGCCCCTATATTGTAGCCACTTGCAGCTTCGCGAAAGAACTGCTCCCTGTATGCTCGGAACTGCTTGGTGGCGAGTACGCTCACGACGATGGCAAAGAAGACGCCAATTTTCGTTGCATACCTTGCGAGAGCCAAACAACAAGAGATCATTTGAGGGTACTGTACACTGAGGCTGTCACGCTTCAGACACGTGAAACAGTGAAGTAACTTACTGTTGAATATCACTCTTGATACCTGCAGTTGCGTAGGAAAAAAGCTTGGGGAATTCAAGGAGGAGCTGTTCTAAAGAGCTCGGCTGTGCCACGCTTTCGTAGTTAAGATCTTTCATGGACACATCCCTCGTAGGTTCTGCAACGCCATCCATCAATGTGACCAAGATGACTGCAACAATGATGACAAAGGTATCAATGAACCCATGAATCCAGTTGCGTTCTGCCAAGATAAGAAGCCTGCGTAGGTGATGAAAGAGCTGATCGATGAATGGCGGTTTTCCCTTATTCCTCGGGAGCCCAAATGACTGAGGAGGTTCGTACTTTGCGCGCTTCTTGTTGGAAAGCCCTTCCAGGTGCTTTCTCCAGTTTTCATGAAGGAGTTCACAAGTTGCCTTGGCTTGCTCATCTACGTTGTCGAATGGTCTCGTACCGCTATCGGCAGGGTTGTCCTTCTCTTCACCAACTGAGGGGCTCCTCTCTATCATTGCGAAGGTAACTTTTCGTCTAGCTTTCGGTTTCTCTGTGGTTGGAATCCCCCCGGTGGTCTCGTCACTCCTTGATGTTGTGGAGGTCGGGCTGCTTGCCGGCATCACAAATTTTTGTTGCTTGACTGGAGGAGGAAGTCTTCCCGAAGCAATGTCAAGAATCCAATCAGTCACGCTTTCCCCATCAGGCAGGATGTAGTTTATGCGATTGAAATATTTCCCAACTTTGCGCACTGGTCCGTGATAGACAAGCTTCCCCGATACGCCCAACAAGATCAATCCATCAAAAACTTCAAATGCATCTCTCCTGGGCTGGTTCAGAGTAGCGCAGATTGTAATGCCTTGCATCTCAACGAATTTTTTGAGATCACGCACTAGATGGAGAGATGGACCGGTCTCAAGACCATCCGTGGGGCTTTCCAGGAAGAGCATTCGAGGTCTCTTCATCAATTCAATTGCAACGCTTACAGACTTTCTTGCTAGCTTTGACAAACCACCTCGCCCTTCGTATCCAACATCGACATGCATTACTCGTGACAAGTCCATTGCAGCCATCGTTGCATCTGCTAAATCTTCGATTTCTTCCAGCGGTGTGTCTGGAAGCTGGAACATACCACTGAAAAGAAGGTGCTCCCTAACAGTCAATTCGGCGTAGAGAGCGTCGACCTACGGGAAACAAGCACGGCCAGCTAGTCAGGTGGTGCACATAACATTCGGACTGACGAAACGAGTCCAAAACCGCAAGAACTGCGCTTACCTTGGGCACGTATCCAATCGAAGACCTGTGCTTTTCTAGAAGCGTATTGTTTCCGTTGACTTGGATAGAGCCCGTGACTTCCCCGTAGAAGATTCGTCCTGACAATGCGTCCAGCAGAGTCGTTTTCCCTTCCAAACAAAGAATCCACAGAAACAAGGTTGTGAGTTCTCCATTGCGATTGAATCATCATTGTGCCGAAAGGAGTCTCGTGGACGTACCTGATCGATGCCCTCCTAATATGGCTGTCATTGTGCCTGCACATAACCGGCCAGTAATGCTATTGAGAACTTTGATCGGTCTATCTTTCACTTCGACGGAAACTGAAAGGCCTTGGAAGGCGATATCAAGTCCTTTGTGCAATGACAATTGACTTGTAAACATGGTTCCCCTGTTGAGCCCTTGCGGTTTTGTCACTTGCCACAGCAGTGCTGGATAGTGGGATATAAACTCGTCTCTGCTGATTGCAAGACTCCGTTCCGGCAATCCAAACAAGGACCTGCGGAACACAAGTGGTGCATACTTGACGACTGCACATTGTGGTTTGTCCTTGACAGGTTCATCCTCAAACTCTTCCTCGGCATGCAAATCTTTGGTCCGTTGGAATCCCTTCAAAAGTGCATTGATTTGCTCGTCATTCAGAAACTCTGCCAAAGAACTCACGTAAAACAGCCGATGCGGCACATCCCCCTCTTTAGTAGTACCACCTTGTTTTGCTACTTCATCATAGATATGTGCCGCTTCCTCGTAGGATGGTTGCAGATGACTAATGGCACCATATACACGGAGGAATTGAGTGATAAAGACATGACGTTCCACTTGTTCCATATCCTGTGCTTCTCCAGCAATATCGTTCATGCGGTTCATGAACTCACGTAGCTGGACGGAGTTCAGCCTGAGTACATTGTTGATTTTGGAATAGTACAGTTCTTCATCCAGGTGTGTATCCAACACATCGAACAACTTGGAAGCATCAAACGTGAACTTCCCGTCCGTCGTTTCCGTAGAGAGAACCATATCCCGAGGATCCTCTACTTTATGTGCGTATTGTTCTTTCAAGCGCCGTTCAATGGCTCTTAGCCTTGGTTTCAACGCTTTAAGCTTACGGAGATGCTTTCGTTTGTAGGCCACATCCTGTAGCCCGTCGAGATGTCGCTGCTGCAGATCATGTAGCTGTTGGTATCGTCTTTGATTGTACTGATTAAACGCCTTCCAGAGGATGACCACGAGCATGACTGCCACGGCAAGTACCACGATTGTGTAGGTGTATGGGAATCGTCTTAACGTGGTGGCTCCCTCGGGACAGTTTCGGCATTTGATTTCGGGTCGTACAGACTGTCCAGCAAAAGCAAGAGCATTCGTCATGAGATGTGTGTGTGTGTGTAAATGTAGTGCCTTTGATTGCGACCAGCGACCATACCTTGTGCGGGCAAAAGTATCCTGCTGGACACGGTATCCTAGTTGTCTGCAATAGGGAAGACAACAGCGTCGGCTTAGCATTTCTGTCACTGTTTGTTTCGTACAATCAGCCACATGCAATGTACACACGAACTAAACTCACCGAGTCTGGACAGTAGTAGCCAACATCACAGTTCCTGTACCCAATATCTGTTCTATTGTCAGCTCCACTGGAAACAAAGAAAACCAAGCCATCCACAGTGTGAGTTGATCCATTTCCCCAGATACTGCAGTATATATACACATAGATTCACGTACGGGCAGTGCATTCCAGCATGGATATCCCCCAGACCGAGCAGTCGGGGCATCCGTCGCACGCGTTCGCAACTTTCCTGGCCATAGGGAGAACAAAGGTACCCCCGAGGACAGGGTGCATCGACTCCAATCCGTGGCACAGGTAGTGGCGTTTGAGGTATAATGTCTTGACATCCCACCACGAGATCTTCGAGAAAGCAAAAGAAAAATTGTGTGGGTTGTCCGGCCCTATAACAGCCTCGAGTGGCGTCTCCACAAAAACTGTAGCAGTCGCACTCTCCGGGGGGTCGGCCTGAGGATGCAATGCGTCGGGCACAACCTTCCACGGACACATTCCAAGTGAATCCACAGTCCACGGGGATACTGTCGCCCACAGTGAATCCTGGTATGCCGGGTAGTCCAATGGGTGGTATCGGCGGTTTGGGCATTACTGTTGCCATTTGTTGCGAATCTTCTTCTTCTTCACTTTCTTCTTCTTCACGTACAGGGTTTCCCTCCAGGTTTGGCATGGGCGACATTGTGGTGGTATTGCGGACTTGTCGCGGTTGAAACAAACTGTCGAGCTCTCCCGAAAGGAAACCACGCGGCCGCGTGGGATCTTCCTCACTATCGGAAGTCTCATTATAATCGGAAGATTCATTGTGGCCAACAGCAAAGCCATCCAGAGACAGGACCAGGAGAGGAGACACCAGAAGGCCCAGGACTATTGACATTACCCACACTCTTAGCACCATGGTCGCCTCTTCTTATCAGACAGAGAGACACCAGCATACATTCCGAGGGACAATTGTCTTCCTGCCGAGAAGGAGGAAAAGCGGGAAAGGCTGAAAAATTGAAAGATTTAATAAAGCAAGAATGCTCCCCAAATTCCTTGCTTGTTTAGAGAATGCTAGTACCAGATTAGGTACTGTACATGTAGTTGAACACCTACCATCTTTAAATCTCCCCCTTTCCTGCCCAATAACTCCTCTCGGTGCATGCATGTACTGTAATTCACTACTCGGAGTACCGTAGCTTTGCCTACACGACTGTAGCCACTCACCGTACTGGTACCGGTACGATAGCCTGAACATCGGCTACGGTATGCATACAGACACAGCTACATCACTCTGCTGGCTCCAGCTCTTGTACATCAAAGCAGATGAGATTCCGAAATGCTGCTGAGCACCATTATTTTCAGAAGACCATTGGAGGGACAGATGGCAATGGCGCCTGGGGACATCAAAGCGGGGTTGACCAATTGGCTCCCAGTGGCGGGAAAAGAGCATGAAAGCAAACAAAAGGCACCAGATGCCGACTCCTCTAAATAACTAGCTAGTGGGCACATCAGCCCATTGTGATTGCATTCTATGTGAGCCCATTGGAGTTTATATATTCTCTGGCGGGACTTCAGTTCTAGGCCCCTCCAAGTTGGCCCCTTCACATGTCTGGGGTCTACGGTCCTCTACAGCTCACGTCCAGTGGTATTGTCTAGAGGGAACAACCTTTTAATAACAGTTTGTTATTACTTTACATCACCCAGCTGGCTGTGGGGAGACAATGGATGCAGGTGCTGCGCGAGGTATGTGTTGAGAAGGTTCTATCTAGCTAGCATTGGAGTTGCAATGCAGGCACCAAAGATAGCAACCGCTAACCAAACCAAGCCAACAGGGCGACATCAGATCATCAAGTCTTGAGAAAACCACCACCAGTCAAATAGTTCGCGGTCATCATTCGTGTTGCTGCTTGGAACTGCTGCTTCTTGCCGCCCCTGAATCGAACACACGGCAGTCTTAGCCTGTTGGGGCACAGCCGCATCTTTCTGGAACCTCCTTTGTGCTCTGGTCATGGGGACGTAAATGTATGTGAGAAACACTCTCGTAGCAACCATGGCGTAGTGTAGTTTTCGGGGGATGACAGTAGGCTGGCGATGGTCAAGCTCTACTACTGTTGGTACTTGGTCAGCGTACTTGATGCTAACACGAGCAGTAAACAACGACGTTTCTTGTTTGGATGCTTTTGCACTATGCGAATGATTCAATTCAATCATTTCCTTAGGTACTTCATCGATTCGGTTCTTGATGAATTTCGTCTCGACGGAGCTGTCTGGGCTCAAAGTCAAGCAACAAGGTACTTTGACCAAGCAAACAATACTACACGAGCCAGCCCATAGAGGCCTAACTGGCTAGCTAGCTCGCTAACAGGGTCCCTTCCTTTCCGGTGCGTGTTACCCTCGCACCGTTGCACGCACCACCACCATGCCGTACACGGTCACGGCACGGAACCACCAAATCGTTGGCTTGCAAATGACGAGTTGAACGAATAATCGAATGAATTCACGTCTCTTCTGTATTGTTTCTGCTCGATCTTGTCTCCCTCCAAACTGCCACGCCAGCCAGCAACGAAGCAAACGAATCGAATGAATCGAATCGAATCGAATCAAAGCTCCAACAGGAGCCCAAAGCCGTCATAGCGCTTCCAGTATCATGTTGATCTCTTTGTGAACGAATCACCCTCCTGGCAGGCAACATGAAATGTCGGATGCCCAACAGTAGCCATTCTCTTGTTCCCCACTAGGAGTGTCTTTCTATTGCAATCTTTCTTGCAATTTGAGCTATCCATGCTACCGTATTCGCAAGTCGGCGCATGTCCCCCTGTTGCTGTTGCTGGGCTGTTTTCGTGATATCTGGAAAAGACTAGTACTCTCTCGCGTTCCCTGCGGTACCCTTCGTGCTTTGAATGAATACAAGACAATTGCATCTTGTCGGCACAGAGCATGCCAGGCACTTCATGTACAATCCTACGTGAGATTGAGCGCAGCAAGCCAACTTCAAGAAAAGTTGAAGCTGCGAGGCAAGCAACCCTACCGGTACATGTCCCGTACCGGTCCGGTAACGCTGGGGAGAATGAGTAAATGTGCGTCTAACTAAATCAAGACCAAGTCGGCACAGCAACAAACATGTGAATGGGCTGCCCAGAGAAGTCCCAGGGCACAGTACCGGTACCAAAACAGTACGAGCTACCAAGCTATCGACTACACAAGAGGAGCATTCGCTGCCATGACCAGAGACTGCAGGGATCCATCAAACTTTCCGCTGAAGCTGGCTATCTGGCATTGCGAGATCATGAATGGTTGATTATGTATCCTCCCTTGGCACACCAAGGTTCTTCTCACAATCTCAATTTCCAGAGATACAAAAACAACAACACAAACCAACAAAAGCCAAAGATAAAACGATGTGGTACCCAACTGAACCTACAAATGCTTGCCTCAGGGAATCTCTTCGAGACCTCCCATATGAAGAATTAAGCTGCGTATACCCAACACTTGGGAAGACCTATTTTGATTGGGAGTATCCATCAAAAGGTGTTGACAACGCCCTGACATTCATGGAAAACAACAGCTGGCTCCCAATTGTAACTACTGCTTTGTATGGACTTGCCATCTATGCAGGGCAACGATACATGGCTGACCGCCCTGCCTGGGACTGGCGATACAGACTGGCTGCTTGGAACCTTTTCTTGGCAGTCTTTTCTGCTGTTGGATTCTTCCGAACAGCACCTCAGCTTCTTCACAATCTCTGGTACTATGATTTCAAGACAAACATGTGTACACATGGAATGACAGTGTTGGGATTTGGTCCATCAGCATACTGGGTTTATATCTTTGGTTGGAGCAAGTTCTTTGAGCTTATTGACACCTTCTTCATTGTTGTCCGCAAAAAGAATTTGATGTTCCTTCACTGGTACCATCATGTCACTGTATTGATCTGCTCCTGGCATACCATTGTCACTCAAAATCCAACTGGAATCATTTTTGCTGTTGTCAACTATGGTGTGCACATGCTGATGTATGTCAATGATGATACTTGTGTTCCTGCTATCATGACTGCTTGCCCAACCTTGAATTCTCATTTCACTTGCTCTCTGTCTTACAGGTACTTTTACTACTTTCTCATGGCCATCAAGTGCAAGCCTAATTGGTTCAATCCTCTGGTGAGCCTACTAAATGGTTGAACCCTCTGTTTGCATGCATATTGTGTTCTCTAACATGTGCTCATTGATTCTGCTTGCTGCACTGCAGATCATCACTGTTGGCCAAATCCTTCAGATGGTTGTGGGAGTCGGCGTTTGCATTGGGGTTTACTCCTGGGCCAAAGAAGATGGCTGCCATGCTAGCCTAAACAATATCAAGGCTGCTCTGTTGATGTATGCAAGCTACTTGTATCTCTTCTGTGAGTTCTTTTTCAAGCGCTACATGATCAAGGCAAAGCGGACAAAGACTCTCTAAAGGTGCTGGACAAAGAACAAGACATCCTATCGACAGTGGAATTACAAGTCAGTAGATAATTAGAAATAGAGGAGTTACACCATAACCATACCGGTAGCCGATCACAAGAAGTATCAGATTGGTCAAGTTGTAGGCTGGTTCCCCGCGCCTCAACCAACCAGGAGCGCTTTCAACATCAGGCCATTCTCGAATCACGTTTGAAGCTCAGTCACCACTAGATCTTTCAAATTAATAATAATAATAATACATTTGGGAAGATCCAACAAAAAAATGTTCCCGGAAAACAAGAACCAAGCATTGCAGTACATGTATTGTTGGGGTATCAGGTTGGTACAATACTTTAGAAGATATTTATTGTAACTCAAAGCAGCAAAACGATACAGTCGTACCAAACAAACTGAACAAACAAACTCAAAACGCCTAATTCCATCATGTCCGTCTCTTCCGTAGAAGGAACAATCAACCTTGCTAAGAACCAAGGCATGGCTCCTGAGTTTGAATCCTGCCATGCCTATGCCGTTTTTCCAAGCATTACCAGCGTTGCCATCGGCATTGGCGGTAAAGGCGGCACAGGCGAAGTCTTTCTGAAGGATGGCACGAAACTCGGTGACGCCACATATGCGGTAGGAACCCTCGGTGGTTTCGGCGCTGAAAACATCAAACAGATTGTCTTTCTCGAGAACGCAGAGGCTACACAAAAATTCACCAGCGGCAAATTCGAGCTCAAGTACGATTATCATGCAACGATTGGTGGAGCCAGTGCCGGTGTCGCTGTTGGAACCACTACTGGTGCGCAAGGCAATGCTGGTGACGGTGGAAGCCATGGAGTGGCCTATGTGAATGGCGTGAAGGTTGTGGCCATTACGAGCAAGGGACTGTACATTTGTGGACCTATTGCTGGAGGTGCGTTTGCCGAGTTAGGCGCTGGAAAGTATATGTTTACGCCGATCTCGGCATAGAGTGCTGGCACCATTTAGACCAGATTATTGATACCGAATGCATGATGGCGCGAATCCGCGCGTGAAGGCCAACTTGGATTTAGAATCACGTTCTTAAGCTTACAGTATAATAAAGTTACGAAACACATCATGACAATGATGTCACAGAGTTTGCAAGTTATTTGCCAATTCGGTTCTTTGAAAAGCCAGCCGAGGATGCCAAAGAAGAGATGGATGAGCGTCCTCTTGATGTTGCCGGAATTCTCAATTTAGTTTTCTTTCGGATATCCACTGCCCGGAAGACTACTATTACAGAATCTGATGGCCCGCCGTACGACAGAACACAATCTCACAAACGAAAGCAACAAACGACGGCTCGGGCTCAGAAGATGAAAACGACGATTGATGTGTGCCAAGCGCATGCAACAGCCCTACAGAGCCCAGCTACCCAGGTGAACAGAGCAAGAACACCGGCTACATGGTCGGGCGGGTTCTGTTGATTTGGCACGCCCATAACTCTCCGAAGCCGTCAATCAACAATGTGCACCATCGATCTACGTAAATGGAATCCAACGACAAGTTTCACCTCTAACTACTGTACTATTTTATATGTCATTCTAATGTATGTGAAACAAACAACAACCGCAATTCATAGACTCAGCTCGAGCCTTTCGCGGACTGCAATGGTTCCCCTGTCGCTCGTTGCGACGACTGGCGACGACGGAAGCGTGAACGCTCTATTTTCACACGAAGATTTCGACAGCCAACCACCACCACGCTGTATCGGATTCGCTTTGTTCCTTTGGCTTCACTAGCAGATCTCTTGTCTGTTGTTGGCTGGTGAAAAACAAAGGTTCCATGGTGAGGTTTGTTTTGCTCGGTTGTTTCTGTTGCTGTTGTCTTGTGTTTGGGTTGGCAAATTGTGAGAGAGGACCAACAGGACGAAATGACACAGGCAAATTTCATGAAGTCACGATAGTCACGATGTCCCTGGATATCCTCATGATGCCTGGTCACTGGTAGTAACTTGAAGTTATGAGGTAGATGGAGAATAAATTTGAGTAATAAATGTTTATAAATACCCAGAGGTGAAGGCCATGATGACCCTTTCTGCATACAGCCCTTTTTTTAAACACCAAGATGGGAATGGAAATCTCTTTGGCTTCTTGGTGGGATTGAAGGGTTCTGCAGTGTTTTAGACTAGCTCCATGAAGCTAGCTAGTCAGTCGCGTTGTGACGCTGGATCTGACGCTGATGAGTGCGGACTGACACCGGGGCGAGCTACGAAAACGGAAGCCAGCTGGCCTTGTATGCCCTCTAGCTAGTCGGGATCGGAACGGATCCGGATGTGGGACGGGATATGTTGTGCTTTGTCGGTATGCATGGTCGAGTGACAGTCCTTGGAGGCGATCCGATGCGACGGAATCTATCGCATGCTTGAAGCCACGTCCTGGCAGCATATACCAGTATTCGAGTCGAGCGAGTCCTCAGTCTAGTCGAGTCCTTGCAGTGGAGTCGATTGGTTGCAACGACGGGATCTAATGCTTACTGGGCTGCATCGAGCAGTAATGGTTCCACGAATTTGGTTGTAAGCTCACAAATCAAGAAAGCAAAGCAAAACATTCGAAAACACACACACACAACTACTAGTATCTCTCAAGATGAAAAAGAACTCAAATTTCTCGCTAGCAAGTGCAGCCACGACCGCACTAGCCATATGCCTGGCTGCTGGGCCAGTAAATGCAACGACATTCTTATCACTTCAAGAAGAACTTGCACGGGCCAGATCAGTTTGGAATTTTCAGGATCGGGGTAACTACGACTATCAATACACCAAACAAGACCTTTTGTCGCACCAAGCTGAGTATCCATGGACTGTCAAAGTCCGTTCTGGCATTGTACACGAGGTGAGGAGGAACGACGGAACAGTAGTCCTCCCTAATCCATTCCCTCCAACGATTGACGACTTGTTTGTCACAATTGACGAAGCAGTCAATTTCAATGTGCACTCAGTCGATATCGAGTACAGTGATACACATGGCTATCCAGTGGATATCGCTATTGACTATGACAATCAAATTGCCGACGAAGAGATCTTTGTCAGCATCTCGGGCGTTCAGCAGCTCCCCTCGTATAGTCACGCAGCCCTTCAAGCGCAGCTCACAAACGCCAGAAACCTCTGGGATTCCTTTCTTGTGACTACGTACACTTTCAGCTACGAAGAGCTGTGCCTTTCATGCTACAACTTGAACTATCCTTGGGGTGTGAATGTCAGGAACGACGAAATCAGGGCGTTGGACGCAGCAGGAACACTTGTCGGAAGCAGTACTGGTACAACTGTTCCAGATCTCTTTGACAAGCTGCAGCTCGCCTTGGACCTTCGAGCGCACGAAATTCAAGTATCCTTTGATGGAAGCTTTGGGTATCCAACGAGCATCTACATTGATTTTGATGCAACGTTGCCGCATGAGGAAGTCAGCCTGAGAGTTTGGAACATGAACATTCTGAACAACCCAAGAGTAGACCTTGCTGAGGCCCGAAATCAGTGGGAAGCATTGGGTCTCCCCAGCTATGCATATTCTTTCCAAGAGTTTGGCTTCCACACAACATTCGAGCAAAACCCCTATCCATGGAGAGTGACAGTATCCAACTACCAGGTTGTTTCCATTGTAGACGCCAATCAAAACCCAGTCGCGTCCTTGACCTCGCTACCGTCCATTGAAAGCATATTCGAAACCATCCAGGCCTCCTTCGACTCAAATGCAGAAACAGTTGAAGTGACCTACAACACCGAATTGGGAATCCCTGAATCTCTTTTCATTGACTACGACCATGATATTCTCGACGAAGAGCGCCACTTTGAGATTACTCAGTTCACTGTCATTACTGTCATTGACTTTTGAACATTCTAATGTACCCTGTTCTATCAGCACTAGTATTTCTTTATGTTCAATTTGCTTAGTTAAATGCTATGTTCAATTGTTGGCTGTCGTATTTACATAGTTCCGAGCGAAGTTTCAGCTGCTCCCAGACCATCTGGCTTGGTTGAGAAGGTTCTCAATGATTCCCTTTCTGTTGACAAGCTCCTGTGCAAGGAAACCAGCAGCAGCAAGCGTCCCGTGCAGCAATGTAGTCTACTGCTAGTAGCTCGGTAAAAAGGTAAAAGGGTCTTGTTAGTGTTGCTTCCCTACAACTCAATCATCGTTTTTCTGGGCGTATCCAAGGAAGAAATGGTAGCCGAACCAGCCATATCAACAGTTGAACCAGCCACATCTTGCCAAACACACTGGCTGGTTACACTTCAATCTGTCATTTCGGTGATTGACTCCTTTTCCGTGCGCACGATGGCCACTGCTATCAACAGTTCTTCATCCACCTTGCGACCCTTGCAACAGTTCAGCCGATCCCATACCGGTACCCTCCAAGAAATGAACTACTTGTTATTCGCGCACAAGCCCAGCTCCATTTTTACCCCATCACCATATTTGTTGAGCTCTTGACAATTTGCTTCAACTTTGGAGGACAATTCAACGACATCAAGAACAGCAATCAATATTCCTCCCAGTCCTTCGCGTCCAATGCCGTCTCGTCAGTTAAAATATTGGAATGCAGTGAGCTTGGGGTCACGGGCCAGCACCTGACAGGATCAGCAAGTCAATCGTTGAGTTGCAAATCTCCGTTTTGGCCTTGTGTTGTCCCTTCTAGGTTTGGGTCAACACGTGGTAAAGACGTTGATAAAGAAAAAAGGTTGCTTCTTCTTTGTTTGCGGTCCAATATCGAATCAAGAATCTGTGTTTATCAGCCAAAATAAAATTTCCGACTATCCTTCTGGCAAAGCGTATTCGTCACACCTTTCCTGATCAAACTCCAACGTAAAGAACTGGTGTTCATAGGGTGGAAGGGCCCCATCATCGTAATACTGATAGGACTGTTCCACTCCTTGTTCAAAGATGACCCCAGGCAGATTGCTGCAATCCACGAGCGAATAGAGCTTGGTCTCGCGATCGTAGCGGCATTCGTTACACGTGCCTCGGTTTTGCACCGCAATGGTACACGTGTCGGGAGTGGTCTCTTCGTTTTCACAATCCACAATTCCGGTAACTGTCACCACTTCGTAGATTGTTTCGGACTCGCCCGAATCCATCCAATCCTCGCTTTCAGGGTTGTTTGGGTCTCGATAGAATCCCCCATTGTAGTAGGTAAACATCATGATGTATTCGTGGCAGGGGGGTGGTTTGATGAAATTGCAGATTTGCTGCACGTCCACAAAGTAGCAATCGCCAATGGCCCGATCACCAGTTGCTTTGGTAGTGATAAACAAGGACGATGAAAAAAAATTTGAAGGAAATAAACTTGAAGGAAATCCGGACGTTTCAATACTCGGCGCGATAGTCGGAACCATTTTTGTTGGGTTGTTGGTATTGTCCATTGCGACGGGAATGGTTGGCTGGACAGTAGGTGTCGCAGTTGTTGTCGCCACTGTGGGAGTAGCAGTGGTTGTTGCGGTTGTGGGCAGAAGTGTGCTGGTACCAACAGTGGGTGTAGCCGTTGTCGGCGCCATAGAGCTGGGTCGATCTGTGACGGTTCGAGTAGGCGCAGGTGTGGGTTCTCTTGTGACGCTTGCCTCTCCATCGTGGGAGTCCCACAAGCCAGGCCGTTTGGGAACAGGTCGGGGTACCGGTACATGTAACAGAGTATCCTTGTGGATATAGCCTGGAGGACAGGGCCGGTGAAAGTTAAAGCCCTTCTCGTTATCGGAAACGCGAATTGCATACCCATATGTATGTATCCTCGGTAGTGCATTCTACTACCTCTAGCTAGGTATTACTTTTCTTGGAATATATGAAATCTCTGTTCGTGTTCGTAGTTTTTGCAGTCGCCTCTGTTGCCGCAATGGTGGAGGTGGTGGACTGTTGTGCTGGGCAGAGGCGGAGGAAGCGATCATGAATACTGACACATATCGTCACACTATGGAAACAACAACAGCAACAACAAAACATGAATTCGACAACGAAGGAGATGGCAGACAATAGCAGTATGACAGAGCAGCAGCACAGCACGAACAACAACGAGAACAACAACAAAGCGACAACCTACAACAGCAAAGGCGACGACTAGGATCCATCAATAACCGGAGACGAGGGGGTGGTGGATTTTTGGCCCGACACTATTATTTTACAAGCGACAGCCATAATTATGATGATTATGACGATGATGATTGCCCGCCGGATGATGGCGGCGGCTGGCCACACCACCATCACCTTAACATTTTTCAGCGAGATTGCGTGCCTCTTCTAACAGACGACGACGACGACGATGACTCGCATCAGAGAAATCATTATACGAGAAAACGGGGCAAGGGCGGCAAAGGCAAGGGTGGGAAGGGTTATCGTGCGAGTAAAAGTAGTCGAAGCAAGGCCAAGGGAGGAAAGGGTGG